TAGTTCCTCACTAACCCTTGGCCTAGGTGTGCCTCCCCTGGGGCCTGAGGGGGGCCCAGTGGGGGGGCTGATCTGGTCCCTGCTCAGGAAAATGGAGGCAAAGAAGTCGTTAAACAAGTTAGCTTTACTGTCTGGCGTGACGACCAAATTTCCTAGTGTGTCTTGCAGGGGCCCCACATTACCCAGTACCTTCTTTTTGCCCCCTATGTATTTAAAAAAGGACTTCTTGTTGTCCTTGATCCAGGAAGCTAGTCCCAGTTCCATCTCCACTTTGGCCTTCCTGACTACCCCCCTGCATCCCCAAGCAACCGCAGTATAATCCTCCCTGGTGAAGGCCCCTCCCTTCCATTTGTTTTACTTTTTGTGGCCTGCTGCCCTGATATAGACAATTAAGTTACAGTCTTTTTCACTTGGAAAAGTAATGTAATGACTTTATGATCCAATACTTTCTGGTAGCATTGCTTTTAAAAAATCAATTTTACACTATACATGACTAATTTATGAATTCTTGGTTTTGAATGGTGGCTGAAAATGTACTTGGTAGCTGTGTTGGTCTGCTGAAAGTGTAGGAATATATAGGATAAAATTGTGTAATGATCTAATCTCTCACCTCCCTTGTCTTGTTAAAGAAACTGACAAAAGTAAATTTCACTGACAAAATTGAAAATTACTGGGTGTGCTGACTTTTGATTATATATTGCAGTGAATGAAAAAAACAACTTGCATGATGAAAATAAGAAGATATCTGAACAGCTTCAGCAACTGCAAAAGCAGATGGAGTAAGTTTTGGCTTTTCCTTTCTCTCAGTCTTCTTCCCCTCTCCCCCTAAACATTTAATTCCTGGAAATATAAATGGGTGTTTAACTTCCTCACATTTGAATCATGTCTCTTAATAAATTGTCCAATGGTAATCCACTGTCATTCAGAATTAACGGATGAAAGGGAACATCTTCCCAACTCAATATGCAACATTTTCTATTATTTTTCACTACGTAAATGTATATGCATGGGGAGTAACAGTGACTTAACATTTTTAAATTATCTTGATTTCTATGAATATGCATTATAAATTCATAATCTCCATTATTCACATATACTGCTGTGCACAATCAGGTTGTTCTTCCTTCTTAGTATGAGATTTTACAAAAGAGATTTCTAAAATAAATTCTTAGAGGAGAAATTTCAGGAAAGCATTCATTTTGAAAGAGACTTGGACTAAAAATGGGCAACAGTTGATCTTTAGTTTGCAAGGTGGTAGCAAAAATATTCCATGTAATACATACTTAATACACTGAGGTGATGTTGCATGTAAGAGAGAAGTAATATTCCTTCAGGTGCAACAGCACCTAAAATACTTGTTTCAAAATTGAGCACCTAAAGGAGCAATCCTGTGATGACAAGGACATGGATTCTGTGGCTTGGCAGACTTGGATGTTATACAATAACTCTTCTTTAACTGTTCTGAAACTGCTGTGGAGGAGAGTTCTGATGACAGTCTGCCTGCTGCCTTCTTGGGTAGAGCAAGAAACTGCTTTCCATAATTCATTAATCATGCACCTCTCACCCTTGCACTTTCAACACACGAAAGCTTTCATGTTTTATGTTTTGGGTCACACGTTGCATCTCTGTGTGCCCCTTCTTGACCTGTCTCTGTGTGGTCAGCCCAGCGCACCAATCTACTCTGCCCTCCATACCCATTCATGCTGAAATTGTCGGCAACACAATGATTAAAAAAATTGCGTGCAGTGGTTGACAAGTATACCAGTATTTACTGTAGCAGTGTATGCAGAAGAAGAAAATATCCAATGGAAAGTTGTCAGCTGATGGCTTTATTAAAGCTCTCAGGTTCTACTATATCTGAGATAGCAGGAGATCAATGATTTCAGGAGGTATTTGCCAGAAACATTTAGCAAACTAAAGGCACTCTAATATATTTGACTTTATAAAAATGACTGCATAATTTTACTAAATTTACAGTATGCTAACACAGACAACCAGCCCTCCAGGCTATGGAGTAGTAATTTGATTCATAGATGTAGGGTCGGAAGGGACCTTGCAGATCTTCTAGTCCAACCCTCTGCCCTGGGCAGGAGAGAAAACTGGGTTCAAATGACCCCAGCTAGGTAATCATCAAGCCTCCTCTTAAAGACCCCCAAGGTAGGAGCCAGCACTACTTCCCTTGGAAGTTGGTTCCAGATCCTAGCCGCCTTGACTGTGAAGTAGTGCCTTCTAATGTCTGGTCTGAACCTACTCTCTAACAACTTATGGCCGTTATTCCCTGTTACTCTAGGAGGTGCTTGAGGGAACAAGGTCTCTCCCATTCCTCACTGGTCCCCCCTAGTAAGTTTATAGACAGCCACCAGGTCCCCTCTCAGCCTTCTCTTGTGAAGGCTGAATAGGTTAAGGTCATGTAGCCTCTCCTTGTAGGGTCTACCCTGCTGTCCCCGGATCATGCGAATGGCTCTCGTTTGGACCCTCTCAATGCTGTCCACATCCCTCCTGAAGTGCAGCGCCCAGAACTGGATGCAGTACTCCAGCTGTGGCCTGACCAGTGTTGCATAGAGGGGGGGGAGGATCACCTCCTTGGCCCTGTTTGTGATGCATCTGTGGATGCATGACAAGGTGTGGTTCGCCCTACTGACCGTGTTCTCACATTGGCAGCCCATGTTCATCTTGGAATCGATAATGACTCCAAGATCTCTTTCTGCCACTCTGCTTTCAGGAAGAGAGTTCCTCAGCCTATAGGTATGCTGCTGGTTCTTACTGCCCAAGTGCAGCACCCTGCACTTGTCAGTATTGAATCCCATCCTATTCTCATTTGCCCACCCCTGTAATCTGTCCAGGCCCAGGTGTATCCTGTCCCTCCCTTCTAGCATGCCCACCTCATCCCAAATCTTGGTGTTGTCTGCAAATTTAAACAGGGTGCTTTTCACCCCCTCATCCAAGTCACTAATAAAGAAGTTGAACAGTGCAGGCCCAAGGACTGAGCCCTGAGGGACTCCACTGCTCACATCCCTCCAGGCTGAATATGACCCATCCACCACCAATCTCTGAGTGTGGCCCCTCATCCAATTTGCTATTCATCTGACTGTGTAGGCATCAATGCCATAGTCACCTAGCTTTTTAATAAGAATGGGGTGGGAGACAGTGTCAAAGGCCTTCCTGAAGTCCAGAAAGACTACATCCACTGCAACATCTGCGTCCAATGATTTTGTGACCTGATTGTAGAAGGTAATCAGGTTGGCCTGACAGGACCTGCCCCTAATGAAACCATGCTGTTTGCCCCTGAGCATCATCCCTGCTGCTGGCCCTTCACAGATGTGCTCCTTGATAATCTTCTCAAAGAGCTTCCCCAGGATCAAAGTAAGACTAACGGGCCTATAGTTGCCTGGGTCCTCCCTCCTCCTTTTTTTTGAAGATGGGGACCACAGTGGCCCTCTTCCAGTCATCTGACACTTGACCAGAGCACCACGAGTGCTCATAAAGCTGTGCCAGGGGCCCCTCAATAACCCCTGCCAATTCTCTCAGCACCCTGGGGTGGAGAGCATCTCAACCTGCTGATTTGAACACATCCAGCCCCTCCAGAAGTTCTCTAACTCAGTCCTCCCTGACCGTAAGCCTGGCAGTGTCTCTCCTGAGTCTGTCCTAAATCTCGGTGGGGGGAGTCCTGGTCCCAGCACAAAAAAAATGGAGGGAAAGAAATTGTTAAAAAGGATATATTATTTTTAGATATTTTAAAGGATATTTGGAGCACATCTAGCAGTTTTCAAGGGAATCCAAGTGGAGTGACTTGGAGCTGTAGGCACTTACATTTTTGTATTGGCCTTAGTACCTGGAATGTGATGATCCATTCATTGGAAAAAGGCTTTATCAGGGTGTGGGTTCGCAGTCCTCAGAAGGCTAGCAGATTTTTCAATGCGGTCAGGTGAACTAGATGCTTCATGAAATGCTAAACAAATCCCAGGGGAGAATCATAAAGAGTTATTAATAAAGAAGGTAGGGCAAGATGTCTGCCACCTTAGGGTGCCTATACACCTACCAATGCACTATAATTACAACAGAGCAGACTCGATTAATCAAGCAGTGGTAATTACCACGCTTCAGCAGACTCTAATGCAGGGATGGGCAAAATGTGGCCTGCCAGGCCACTCTATCTGGCCTGCAGGGCTCAGAGCTGCTCTAATTAAAGCACCCCCCACACACACTCCCAGAGCACGTCTGTAAATGCCTTTAGGGACTACCTAGTTCATTCCAGCAAACAAGCCGGAGTTTCCAAATATACTAGTCTGCCTTGCTAGACCAGCCCATATTAATATTGCTGAATCTTCCACAGTGATCTGGGGACTTTGAGGTATTATGGAGAAAAATACCCTTCCTATTAATAGTCTTTGGCTTAGCAGGGCTGTAACAACAGGCATATATAGCTTTTCAGTATTCCATATACAAAATTGTCAATAATCTCCTGTGTCCTGCTAAATTTTATGGCATGGGGGCAGCAGCACCATTTTCATAGCAATTAAGAATCTCCATTGCAACAGCCTGCAGCGCTTAATCAGCACCACACTAGTTAGGCATTGACTGGTAGCAATCAGGGATGATAAGCTTCCAGGTGGTAATGACAAGATATTACTACACACTGAGGGGAAATTTCTCCTTTTGCTGAGCAGGGACAAAATCCATACAGATGTATAGGGGAACAGCCTTTGTCTTTCTGAAGATCTGTCACCACTTCTGAATTATTCAAAAGTATGTGAAATCAAGCAAAGTTAATTTGTATAACTAATGACAAAGCTTTAAGACTGCAGGATTGTTTTTGATCATGTATTTAGAAAAAAAAGAAGTATAAATTGCACATTAGGACTAGCCTGTAAGAGTTCAAAGAAATGAATGTGTTCTCTTTCAAACTCTCCTCAAAGTTAAACGAACCAAGTAAGCCCAACAAGTGATGCTTCTTGTCAATAAAGCTAAAACGTATTTCTGCATTTTTCTGTTGTGCTACCTGTTTATTTTCCAGAAGACCTCACCGCTTAATGCAAACTTAGCTTTTCTTCAGATTTCTTCTCCTTTTTTGAGCTTTGAACTCGCATCTGAAGACAGGAAAGCAGGTCCAAGTCTGTGCTTTCCCTTGAGCAGTCAAAATGATATGTAATGCCAGTGACAACAGCAATCTAAGTTAGTTATCCTTGTCACCGTCTTATCTTTTCTCTCATTTTCTTTTCCCATGTGATAGTAAAAGGTATTCTTAGGAAGTACAAGAGGAGTAAACAAGCTGCTTCTTTACGTAGCTCTAAAACAAACGTCATAGAATCATAGGGCTGGGAGGGACTCTGAAGGATCATCAGGTCCGGCCCCCTGCATGAGCAGAAAAGACATCTGGGGTCAGGTGACCCCAGCCAGGTGACTGCCCAGTCTTCTCTTGAAGACCTCTTCAAGATGTTTGCACCACCTCTGGGGGGAGCTTGTTCCATAGTCTGGACACCCTAGTTGTGAAGAAGTTTTTTCCTAATGTTCAGCCTGAAACTATCTTCCAGGAGTTTGTAGCTGTTGTTTCTAGTTTTCCCCCAGGGTGCCCTGGTGAACAGTTGTTCACTGAGGCCCTCATGTACGCCTCTGATATAGCAGTAAGCCGCAATCAGGTCCCCTCTCAGCCTTCTTTTCTTTAGGGTGAAGAGTCCGAGATCCCTAAGCCTCTCCTCATATGGCTTGCCATGCAAGTCTCTGATGAAATGGGTGGTCCTTCTCTGGACCCCCTCGAGCTTTAGCACATCCTTGTTGAAGTGCAGCGCCCAGAACTGGATGCAGTACTCCAGATGCAGCTGCACCAATGTTGACTAAAGCAGGAGAGTCTCTTCTTTTCTTTTGTTTTACTGGAGATGCATCAATTGATGCATGCCAGAGTTTTATTGGCGCTAGCAGTTATTGTGTCGCATTGCCGGCTCATATTCATGCTGGGCTCTATTGTTACCCCCAGATCCCTTTCATTTGTAGTGCTGGTCAGGTTAGCACTGCCCAGCCTGGTTGTGTGCTGGGGGTTTTTCCTTCCCAGATGCAGCACTTTGCATTTCTCTATGTTGAACTGCATCTGGTTCCGTTCTGCCCAACATGCCAGCCTATCTAGGTCTGCTTGTATCTGCTACCTATCTGCGGGTGTGTCCGTGCAACCCCATATCTTGGTGTCGTCTGTGAACTCGTCTGTGAACTTGGCCAATGGGGTTTTCACCCCCTCATCCGGATGGTTAATGAAGATGTTGAACAGCACTGGGCCAAGTACTGGCCCCTGGGGCATGCCACTACCCACATTTCGCCAGGGCGACACTGATCTATTGATTTGGAGTCTCTGCATCCTAACCCGCAACCAGTTTTGCACCCACTTGACAGTCCTGCAGTTGAACCTGATATCTTCCAGTTTTCTGATTGGTACCTCGTACTCCCTACATAGCTAAAGCAGCTAAAGAAGGACTTCTTGTTGTCCTTGATTCTTGTAGCTAGCTTTAGTTCAGTTTCTGCCTTAGCTTACCTAATCTGTTTTCTACAATTGCAGGCCTTTAAGTAGTCTTCCTTAGAGGCTGTCCCAAGCTTCCATTGTTTGTACACCTCATTCTTTTTCTGTCAGAGGGCTGCAACTTCCGTGCTTAGCCAAGAGGGTTTTTTTGATCCTTCTGCTACTTTTTCTTCATAAGGGAATGGATTTTCTCTGAGCCTTAAGGATTGTGTCCTTAAGGAACAGCCATTCTTCTCTTGCTCCCTTTACCTGTGGTCCTTGGTCTCTCAGGGCATTCTCTACTAGTGACCTAAGCTTATTAAAATTAGCATTTTTGAAGACTAAGACTTTGAGCTTGGTATCTGTTTTGTTGGCCTTGCGACGGACCATGAATGCAATGATTTCACGGTCACTATTGCCTAGGCTACCCTTTATGATGACATTGGTCACCATGTCATCATCTTTGGCCAGGGCCAGGTCAAGAAGTACATTGCCTTGTTGGCCTGTGCACCTCCTGAGTCAAAAAAAGCTCTTTGGTACATCTTTGAAGTAAAGCTACCTTCTTGTGATCCCTTACACCTCTTTATACACCATCTTGGGAAAAAGATATATTTTATTTTACATCAGTTTTTACACATTGCATGTGAGTAGACTCAGAGCAGACAAGGGAGGGGCAAGTGGAACTTGTAGTCAGTGGGTATGTCTATATGAGAGTCTACAGCGCAGTTGGTAGTGTGCATTTATTTAGTACTTGTATTAGCAAAGACTAAATAAATGTGCAGTAACCAGCGTTACTGCTCAGTAGTGCTGGTGAACATCTTTTAGGTTCTGCATAGTACTACTGCATAGTAGCCTAACAATACTGAGTTGTAGCATATTAGCATGGTCTGTGCTGTGATGCAGTACTGCACAGTATTTTTCAGCTACTGCGCAGTCAGCATCTGGTAGAGATGCTCCCAGTAATCTGCTTTTTCTAAATATATATTCAGATTACTTCTCTCTAGAAGATGGCAAAGCTCAGGATACAGGCTTTCTGAAGGGTTCTCAGAAAATTCATAAAAATTGCATGAAGTGTTAAAACAAACGATGTTAAAGATTTTTTTTTTTTTTTTTTCAAACATCGCTATTAAGTAACTTTAAACCTGCCTGGTAGCATCTGTTGCGTATTACAGCTTTTAATGCTTTGAGGCGCACACAAACTGCAATAGCAGATCAGACCCAGTGATCCATCTACTGTAGTATTTTTTTCATAAAAAATTATAAGTATTCACAGCAGGGGCAAAAAATCATGCAGTAGGTTGTTACGGAATACTCTGACCCCAGGAAAATTTTGCTCCTTACCACAATAGTTAGAAGTTGATTTAAGGCTTGAAGAATGAGGGTTTGTATAGCGCACAGGCTTGATGGAGCTAGTCTGAATTTCTTAGTAGGTTTGTATCTTCTAATGCTCTGAAGTCATGATAACTATACTAATTTATAGTGTCGTTCTCATTGGCAACCTATTCTGAATCTGTTGATTGTGTCATTTTCTTTAACCAACTGATTTTTATAACAGGTCTAGCATTAAAGATTTAGCTCTTCATCTTGGTTTTACTTTAGCTTTGAATTCTGTCTTCAGGGGGAGAAAGCAACAAACAATGGATATGGAGGAAGGGGTCATCCCAGATTCACCAGTTCGCTCTTTTTCACTTTCCCTGGCTAATCGTATGCGAAGAAAGAAAGAAAACAGGCATGTTCGATACACGGAACGTCCAAATTTGGAGCATTCCGAAAACAATAGTGGTAGGAGTTGTGTTCATCTCTTTCTGTAGTGAATGTCTCAAGATTTTTTTTTAAAGGGGAAAGAAAACGAACAACATTTTAACTTTGTTTTCAAAAGACTTTTTAATGTTTTATGTTCTAAATCCATAAAAACAAATTGGTTATGGACTGAAATAGTTAACCTTTGTTCTAAGGTGAAAAGTAGTTTAGACTAGTAACCAACAAATTGGTGACACTTTAAAATATTGCTTTTCTCTTCAGGACTCTGACACCTCTGAACCTTACTATTTCCAAAACTCATTCCAAATCTTGTCTGGATAATCAACAAACTTGCTCTCATACTCAGTATTTTAATATATTGGCTACTTTAATTTATACTTTTTCAGAGGAAGGGAATTCCATTATAACTGCCAAAATGGTGTATGGGTTTCCATATTTAGGTCTCACTGTGACATTATGATTGAACTTGTTCAGTTTATGAAATAAACATGTTTTTTTATTTTTAGCAACTGTTGGCACTGAAATCTCTGCAAGGTGTTCATGGATTTATAGATATTTAAGGCAAGAAGGGATGCTAATTATCCAGTCTGGTCTTTGGCATGACACAGACAGACCATAGTATTTCACCCAGAAATTCCTGTATCAAATCCACTTGACCATTAACATCTCTCTAAGAAAAAATATGCAGTCTTGGGTTCAAGATTTAAATTTTGCACATTCCAGTGTTTAGTTACCATAATTTAAAGTCAAAGCTGTATTTGTTCTGTCTTGCACACCATTGCCAGTGAAAAAGATTAGGTAGACACAGTTCTCCCCTAAGTTAACACTTGTGCAGAACAGGTATTATTACTTGTTAGGATCTGTCCGAAGGCCTCAATTTATCATTTAGACATCTAGTTCCCTGAATTAGTTTTTTGGAATAACACACAATGTAAGGTACTTCAAACAGCATTTTATCCTGTGTTTGCATGCTTGTAGCACCACCTGGTGTACAGCAAAAAAATTCCATCAGATCCAGTTATTTCAAGGCTATAATAAACCGACTATCAAAATCTAGGAATTGCCTAGAACATTTTTCTGTGTTATAGGTATACCCTTTACGTTAGATCTATAAAAGTGCAGCCATTTTGATTCATTGAAATTTGATCTAAGATACCATATACATAGAAAATGTAATTTTGTATCATTAATGCAACGTTTTAGCGCCAATAAGATTTACTGCATATACTGTAATGATCTGTACGTTAATCTGAATATTATATTCTAAACACCTCTAGTATGTTAATTTATTTCTTGTGAAATAAGAATATATCCTGCAAATGAAATGTCTGAACCATGCAACTAGATGCAAATATAAGCATTTATTACACTTTTCTTTCTACTAGTAAAAAATAAAATGTTAATCACAAAGTATACATACTACTGTTACAAGCTTATGCCGTAAGACTGAAAATGATTGATTATTATTTTGCCCCATAAAAGGCCATGTTTGCAATTCATTCTGCAAGTTTAATTTTAACTGCCCTAATAGTTAAAATAACAGCCCTTTTCTTTCAGCCAACATCCAGCAATATCTGTATCTAATATTAATTAAGAAGGCAGCTCATGTTTAATTATAGGAATTTTTTTAATCTCTTCATCTAGAGTTTGGAAAAGTACCATTATCATCTACACAAATACATAACCATTGTGGAGAAGAAATACAAATATTAGCAGCAGACACCTACGATCAAGAATTGTCTCCCATAGCAAGTAAATGCACAACTGGATTTAATCCTATTTATTTCATAATAAGGAAAAGAAACACTGGAAGTTATGGGTAACCAGTAACTCAAATTCAATTTTTAGTCTTCAGTTTAACTAAGGAACGAGGAAAAGAAGTGATCTTTAATCACAGAATTACTGTTGAAATACTTGCTAAATAAGTGGGCAAAATGTTCTAGTTTTGGGTCAAGTGGGGGAGCCAGAAACATCTCGTTTCAGTTGTCCTGCATCTGTTTTCCCATATACAAAATAGGAGTTCTATCTTATGTGTTGTGTGAATTACATTTTAGGTCTAAAATTGTTATGAATATTTGAGATGCTTTAGTGCAGATTCTTTCTATTGTAGTTACTCAGTACAAAATCACTATGAGAATTTTTTAACTAAAAGTTTGGGGGCCAGTTCTGTTACATGTATTAAGCATGCAAGTAGACTTAGGTGCCCAAATGTGATTCTGCTCCTCCCCACTCAGGTCCTTGAAAAATATTTATTGTAAAAGGTATGCAAGTGGGTTCCCCCTCTCCTTCTCCTTACTGCTTCTTGTGACCCAGTCTTAAAGGTAAGATGCTGGCATGTTACAAAAATGGATGTAATAATGGATTTTCAGGGGTATAGGTTGTAGCTGTGTTGGTCTAAGGACATAGGCAGACAAGGTTCTTTGGGTGAATCTGATATGGATTTGAAGAGGCTGGTATTGCACTTGCATGTCTAAGTTCACTTTAGATGTCTAATAGGTGGAATTGAATCTGGCCCAAATATTTCAATTTGGCTCCTGCAGTTATTCATTTTTTTTTTTTGCACATTCATAAGGTGATATATTATTATTTTTTCCTCTCTGCTTCCAATTCTTTAAAAACTTGGCATCATATTTTTTACATAATCTCCAGAAAATTTCTGGTTTTTTGGAGAGGAAAGCGAGGAGCAATTAGCTGTGTATATCACTAGAAGACAGTACTTTTTCAGAAAGTATTCCTGCAAGACTGGGATTTTTTTTTGTTTGTTTTCTAACCAGGTAGCTTTTCTATGTATAGGTCTACCCATAGGTTAAATGAGCCATCCTGAAATGTGGATTTACTTTTTCAATAAATGTTTATTCTTCACTGTTCAATAGATACTTGTTTGCCATTCAAGTGTTTATTTCCTTTATTCTACACAAAGAAAATTTTGGGGGACAGTGCAGAAATCAAAGAGAACTTAATGGGCTCTGCACTTCTTTGTCTTGTTCACTGTTTTCGTATTCCCAGGTTATTGTCACAAAGTTCAATACTCTACTTACAAAGTGTGGTCATTTTGGATAGTTAAAGGTATTAATTATTTACCACTGTAGTTTGATTGGCTTTTTATTACTCTTATATTGTACACTTTATAATCGGATACATCTGACATTTAAGCTTCTAGTAAGACTTAACATTTTTAATTTGTAGAAAAACTCAAATGTCCTTAATCCAATTTATCCAACAAATTACCTCCGAAATAATGAAAACACTGTCTTTCATTTTAGAAAAATAGAAATGATGTTACCTCTGTATCTGAAGAGCACTTACTGATATACAAAGTTATACTTTTTAAATGTGAGCTTTTCACAAGGTGAAAATCCTCTTTTAATGAGCTGAGTGAACTACCAATTAAATTTTGAGGATATAATTTCTATGACTGAATTAAATAGGTACAATATGTACAACCTTAAGGACAAACTGAAAAATAATTTTGCATTAATCTCTACTTTTCTAAGACTATTAAAACATAATTTTAACTCAGTTGCCTCAGTTGCTGATGAGCTATGTTTACATATGTGTACTATATTAGAAAAGTTAGTTATCTTAAACTTTTTTTAAAAACCTATCATTACGTTCTGGTGTACCTGACACAAAGTATGTACTTTTACCACTAGTCTACCTACCTACTTACCACCATTGTGACATCATAGTTTAAATGCAAAACCTAAAATTGCAACTTCTGTTTTGATTTTTGGAAGTTGCATGCAAGTGAAAGGGATATCTGTATAATAATGTAGCTTCCCATAGAGAAGGAATCCCTAATTTGATCTTGCTCCATACTTCTTAGCCTACTGGTATCACTTTTAAGGTTTTCAATTTCTTTGCTGAATTTGTTTACTTCTGACTAAAAAGTCTTTGTTTAAGAGTAGAATAAATATTGTCATGTAAGTATAATTTATTAATTGGGCATCTGTTTCTGTCCATGCAGATAAACAAGGGATAGCAAATTATCCTGTTGCAAAACCATCTTTTAACTTGGCTGCTGTTGTGGCAGAAACAATTGGACTCACTGTTCAAGAAGAATCTGTAAGTAATGTTCTCAAATTTTCACAAAATGAGTCCTGTAAGGCAACTGTTTGGAGCACTTGACAGGCTGTGTAGACTTGGCAGAGAAGTATTAAGTTCTAGCTATCCAAAAAGAAAAGGTAATTTTATCTTCCCCTTAAGCATTTTCACTTGAAGATTCTGTATCCTGAATATTCAAAACCTTTTAAATACCATTTTACCTTCACTTTCTCTTTATGGAAATAGCCTAGCATGGAAGACAAATAGGCTGCCCAGTTGCTTCAGGTAGTTTTCTAAATGCATTATTTCTCTCCCATGCTCACCTTTTCCAGTTTGAGCAAGAAAACATGCTAGATTACTAGCATTTCAACATGTGTCCAGTGTAGTGAAGAAATGTTTTTAAGTTAGGTTTCCAGTTCCCATTATGGTTGAGGCTGTTTGAGACCTAAGCTCTTGTAACTTGGAGTAGCCTCTGGAATGGTCCCTTAAGTACTGTCCCAAGTACAGTACTCTTTGGCCCATCAAAGAGCCCTTCATATGTCTCACGCTAGCAGGGAGCGAGAGATTGCAGAGGGATCTGGATAGGTTACAGGGGTGGGCTAACAGGAACAGGATGCGTTTTAACACGGACAAGTGCAGGGTGCTGCACTTGGGCAGTAGGAACCAGCGGCACACTTATACAATGGGGAACTCCTTACTCGAGAGCACGGAGGCAGAAAGGGATCTTGGAGTCATTATTGACTCCAAGATGAACATGGGCCGACAATGCGAGGTCATGGTTGGCAAGGCTAACCGGACCTTGTCGTGCATCCACAGGTGCATCTCGAGTAGAGCCAAAGAGGTGATCCTCCCCCTCTATGCGACACTGGTCAGGCCACAGCTGGAGTATTGTGTCCAGTTCTGTGCGCCCCAGTTCAAGAGGGATGTGGACAATATGGAGAGGGTCCAGAGGAGGGCCACCCGCATGATCCAGGGACAACAGGGCAGACTCTACAGTGAGAGACTGCGGGACCTGAACCTATTCAGCCTCCACAAGAGAAGGCTAAGGGGGGACCTGGTGACTGTCTATAGACTCACTAGGGGGGACCAGAGGGGTTTGGGGGAGACGCTGTTTCCCCTAGCGCCTGCTGGCATAACAAGGAGAAATGGGCACAAGCTGTTGGAGAGGAGGTATAGATTGAACATCCGCAAAAACTACTTCACCGTTAGGGCGGCTAGGAGCTGGAACCAACTTCCAAGGGAAGTGGTGCTGGCCCCTACCCTGGGGGTCTTTAAGAAGAGGCTGGATGCCCACCTAGCTGGACTCGTTTGAGTCCCATTTCTCTTTTTGGGGTTTTTGTTGTTCTCCCGCCCTGGCGGGGGGTCGGGCTAGAAGATCTACTAGGTCCCTTCCGACCCTTAATCTATGAATCTATGAATCTATGAAAAAGCTGGGAGCTGTTGGCACAGATTTGGCTTCATGCCACACAAAGTCCCCAGATACAATGGTCAGCCAGATTTCTGCTCCTCTTGCACCAATAGAGCTGTGTTAAGGAAACGGACCTGGAGATCTGATTCAATTAAACAACCTTAATAGTAAATACACATCTCATCGTAGCTTAAAAATAGAGGAACAAGTGAAGTTTCCTGGTTTAATCATTAAAATTAAATGAGAGATTAATGAAGAATATTAACTATATTAGAGCACTAGTATAAAAATCAAGCTCATTTCTGCAGGGACTGTGGAACAAACTTCCAGAGGAATAAAGGATATTGCTAATCTCACAACTGCAACCTTTTGATTCAAGTGCAGTATGCATTTTTCAAGTTTTCTGTCTCAACACAAACATGCAACAGCGTGTATATTTAAAAAGAAACTAATAAAATGGGTATTATATATTCCTTGAGGAAAAGATGAGAAAATATCACAGATGACTAATTGTGACATTTTCATGTAACTTAATGCACTGTTATAGGGTGCTTGTATAGTACAGTGAAAATTGAAACAATATTTTTTGAAGGTGTACAACATTTTAAAAATCCTATCATATGAAAATACATGGATGAAATATAGTACTTAATGAGTCTTTACAAAAACTTTAAAAAATTGTCAGAGCCCATTTAAAAGCAAATAATTAAAAATGTAAAAGCTAGGTGATAAACTGCTAGCTACTTTTCTTTATTTTTTATTATTTTTTTAAAAAACTTTCATTTTATTTTTCCCTTTGAATGAGATTTTTTTTCTTGCAATACATAAGTACATTGTATTTATAATTATTAATTCTAATAAATGTTCTATATTTGCATGGAAGTGTAAATGCTTTTTTTTATCACATGCAAGGAGTCCCAGCATGTACTGAGCCCTCCTAGCAATAGTAATGCAACAACGTCTGTGCCTCTAAGCATTCAGCAGGAAGATTCAAGAAAACAGCTGGCTTCTGAATCGAGAAACGATGACAGCTTGGGGTATGCTGCTTTTAGTATATAACAAAAATATGAATCGGCTTATATAAAACATTTGTCTTGATAGGAAAATGGCATCTTGTTTTAAAGGTGGACCTATGAAAATCCACTAACATTAAATTATGTAAACTTCATGCATCTGCAGGTCAATATTTAAAAAAACAAAAAAACATACAATTCCATACAAATCGGAATTGGATAGAATTACACAGTCATTACATTTTACTTATTCTTCAAAGGTCCAGTGTTCTCTGAGGTTCTCATCCCTAGCTGATTTTTCTCTAGTTATTGGGTGGTGCATCTGGAGAACCTTAAACATCAGACTACAGAGTAGGGCAATGGAATGGCAGCAGGTGTTTACATTGCGGTGGAGGTAGTAAGCCTCCTGCTATTCAAGCGATCGTTTATTATAGTGATGAGATTCAAATAAAAAGTCAAATTACATAAAAGCTACTCTCACAAGGAAAAAAGGACATTGCCAGATGAAGGAGATCTGCGGTGATAGGCTGATCTGCTACATTGGGTAAAACACACATTGCCAGTTGTCCTGCATGTGGCAGGGGCCTGATGTTGGACAATGGGCGACATGTTTCCCCTAGTGTAGGGATCCCCCATGTCCTTTGCTGCCACATGTATACTTTCCAGGACCCGTGCTGGAACCTGCACTGATCCATGCCTCACACAGAAACATGGGGCAGTGCAGGTCCTGGCACACACAAACTTAGAATGGTGTAGGACCTAGGGTATCCCTGGTGCCTCATGCCTCTACAGTGGGACGTGTGCTGACCCTTGCCTCCATGTGAACCACTGCTTGGTGTAGATTCATGCATAGAGGTATGGGATGGTGCAGGACCTGGGCAGTTCCTAGTGTCCCGTGCCTCCATGCTGGGACCCGTGACACGAGGCAGTGTCTGTTTCTACCCTTAGATCTTCCCCATTTTCTATTCATTGGATACTCTGAAAGGCTGAGGCCTATTAGGAAGAGAGATTCCTGGATAGACTGAATGCTGTCCTGGGTTCTCCCTCATATCTGGAAAAAAATATAGTTTCATACTGAAGCAAAGAACCAGATCTAATTATTGCCCAATTTTAGCCCTATGGTTGTAAGAGTTATCACAGATGAGCAATTTTCATATGCATGCAAACCTTTGTTTACTTTTCTTCTTTCTGTTCCATTCAAAATGAAATAGAATCAACTGTAATAGCTTTCATGGGTACAACTGGCAGGAGACTGAATATTTTTGCATTTCTTGTGACATTGAAAAAAAGAAAAGTATTTCACCTCTCAATATGTTCAGACTTTCAGATCCATCTCAGAACACTCCACCACATGTGGACTGGGATCAACAGGCAGCTTCTCCTATTTTTGGAGCATCTAGCAATGTGAAGAACAAATTATGTTTCAATACAAGTCATTCCCCTTCTATTTTAGATACAGGACTGAAATCTAATTTCAAAAACAACCCCTTCAACAATCCTTCCAATTCTAGATCTCATAAAGTTAGATCAAAATCAGAAGATATTGCTCTTGTTGCACCACTTAATCTTGGGACTGAAGTAAACTCTATTATCAGCCAGGCCTCAACCAATAGGCAGATGACTGAGAAAAAGAACACAGGTGAACCCATAACTTGTGTCTTCAACACTTGCACAGGCAGGGATGAGGTAATCAAGAGCGACTTCTGCCTTGCATCTCCAAAGCAACTGGGAAGAGGATGTGCTAAAAGAAAGAAAGCTGAAGATGAGCATTTGACCAGTTGTGAGAGAACCTCTTTCAACAAAGAGAACTCTTTGCCTTTTCAAGTAGATATTCAGCTTATTAATGGAGAGCACACAGTTGACAAGCCTTTGGACCTCTCTGATCGTTTTTCTGGAGCTCATGGTCAAGGAAGTGATGAGACTTGTAAAAATAGATTGAAACAGATGAGCCTGCATGATGTTTTTCCCCAGCTAGTGAAGACTACTGCAGAGGATTCTTCATTCACAAAAAGCATCAACAGTGGGACCTATTTGTTAAGCAGAGATTCAGAAGAGGATCCCCATGTACAGGAGGCAACCCTTGATGAAACACACACAGAGAAAAATTCCCGATTACAAATTAAAGAAGAAATCCCTTCCTTCAAAGTAGCACCATTGTCAAACATAGTAGATACACAACTTCTTTTTGATGATGTAAAGGTATGTTTTTCTAAAAAATATATATTATTTTGCATTGTTTTCTTTTCCAAACATAATGTTTAAAATCTGGGAAATGTTAAAATTATAGCATGTTGTTAGGTTCCCAGTGACCATGAACCGACTAGAAAGAAAACCAGGGCAGGACATGGAGAGTCTGAGCCAGCATCTGTGCTTCAACCAAACCCTTGTAGAATAACAAAAAGTATATCACTGCAAAATGAACAAGGTAACTTCCAAAAAGCATTCTTCCTTATTGTGTGCCTATACTTAAAACACGTTTGCATTTCTTTTTCTCTCCTTCTCCCACTGTTAACTTTCTTCCATTCCTTTTCATGATTTATATGCTATCTCTTCTGAAAGCCACCCCCAAGTGAACTATATTCATTCTCACTTACTTCAAATAAGTTTTGAAAATAATCCTGTTTTGTGTTGGCTGTCTTCGGTAATGCTGTCATATCTTCTTTTTTTTTTTTTTTTTACTGTACATTATCTGCATGGCTTTAGATTAGAAACTCAGTAGGATAGACAACTTTTATCTAGCTTATTTCATGTTATTGTTACTTCACAGAATTGAAACGAGCTTATGAAGTTTCACTTTACACTACCTGTCCAAAAAATTTTACTTGGAAATTTTAAAATTCAATTAGAAGCTGGCTTCTTAGTGTTGCTGTTGGGGGTGTTGGTTATAGCCATGTTGGTCTAAGGACATAGGCAGACAAGGTTATTTGGGCAAATGTGAGATCTTTTATTAGACCAACTAAATAGTTGGAAAAATTGTTCTTTGCAAGTTTTGGGTACAAACACCCTTCTTCAGACTCTCCCACTGCCTGAAGAAGGGTGTTTGTATCCAAAAGCTTGCAAAGAACAACTTTAACAACTACTTAGCCAGTCTAATAAACAATATCACATTTACCCAAAGAACCTCGTCTGCCTAGTATTGCTATTTGCATTATTGAGGTCCTTTTTTTTTTTTTAAGCAATTCCCATTCCTTACCAGTTAGCTTATGTGGTAGTATACAGCTGTCACCAAATATCCCATTACCAGGAATGTATCATTTCTAATGCAAGTGGTCCCAGTCTGCTGTTTTAATTTCTTTAATTGGGCTCTCTGAATTACTAGCAATTCAAACTCTGTCTTCACTGACTCTCTACTTTCTATGTTTAGAAACATGAATTCCTTATTTAGAAACACAGTAAAAGCTTTGTTATCTGGCATGAGTGAGGTAATGGGGGTGCTGGTTATATAAACATTCCAGTTACCTGAGGGCAGGGGTTTTTAACTGGTGTGGGGGGAGTGGCAGTAGCCACACATTGGGTGGAGGCTGGGCATATGCAGCAGTGGCAGTGCAGGGTGATGGGTGGCAGCAGGCTTCCCTCCCCACTCCCCTGCAGCCAGCCAGCTGGCCTGAAATTCCAGTTAATAGAGTGTTCCAGTTACTTAAATGCCAGTTAACACAGCTTTTACTGTATTTGGGTTGTGGGCTGAGAATCAATTAGTAGTAAATAGTGCTGTGAAGATACAAGTTGATCGTCTTCCACCTAAAAGAATTTTGGAGCCAACTTGCAGTCTTTGAAGAGAGAACATCAGTTTAGCTATGTGTTTGTTTGATACTTTATCTTCTGTAGTTTTATTATCAGAATTGGATAGATAAATGGAACCTAAGAGTTCAAGCTGATGCAATCTACACAAAACTTACTTCAAAATATATATTAAATGTGTTAATAAGCTATATATTATTAATTACGCAACATATGAAAAAGAGAAAAAAGCTATAACAATAATGTAAAAGTGTATTTGGTGAGAAATATATACATGCGTGTGCACACACACATATATGTGAAAATGGTAATTCTTTTGTTGTGTACACAACAAAAGAATTACCATTTTCAAATCCCTCTCCCTCTCCCTCTGTATCTAGATGTATCTAGAGATATAAATATGTGTGTGAATGAACTATATAAAATTAGCTTGCTTACTCTATAGTCTTTTTAACTTTTTTTGTTATAAAAAAAATATCAAACCTGAAAGGAGAAATAAATAACAGAAAAAGAATGACTCCTGTAGTTTACTTCTCATCATATGCTATCATTAAATTTTGGTCCTAAATTTTAATTACCTTTTCTGTCTTGCTTTCTGCATCCCCACCTCCAAGATAAGCCATCTTTAGAAAATCTGCAGTGGAGTATAGATCCAGGAGCAGACCTTTCTCAGTACAAAATGGACATTACAGTGATCAACACAAAGGTAAATCAGCATTTACTGCTCTGAGTCTTTTGGCTAAGGCAGCATATAATAAGTAAATTTGTGAAATAAATCCTTGTATGTTCTATCAAATAAAATGCAGCTGTATGTTTATATAAAACTTCTTACCTAAAATAGTTTAATCCAAAAGTGCCTTGTATAGACTTAAAACGTTACAATATATTTACTTACATTATAGTCAAATTTTGCAAAGTAGATCTTCAGCCTTCACAGGGTTGGAGCAGTGAAAAGCTCTACAAGCTTTTCAGTACTTTCTCTCTTGCTGTGAGAATGGGAATAGTTATAATACAGAAACATTTTGTTTAAAAAAAAAAAAAGTTCTTATTTCACAGTTTCTCTTCTAACTGTTCACTGTGATCTCTGAAGCAGTTGACAGAGGTATGCAAATCTTGACTTTTTATGAGAGAGTACTTGTTTGTCATAAAGTTTTAACACATGTCTGCAAAGGTACTAACCCTTTATATGGCTACACATGATCTTTTCCTGAAATTTAATTATCTGAATTGCTGTAAAATTCCATGAATACATTTTCTTTATAGCATAAATTTTAAATATGATTTTTCATGTGGCAAGTGATATAGTTCAATAGATAAACCATCATTTAAGTTCTTATTTTTAGAAAGTTGGCATCAGCTAACAATTTCTGCATCTTTGCCATATAGAGAGAGCTCTTTGAGAGGGAAATTGCATAAAATATCTCAGCAATGGGGAACTTATCAAATACAAATAAATGTGTCTGTATGATATGTAAATCTATACGAAAGGCACTCTAGGTACCTCACACAAAGCTGAAGTATGTCAATTGCTTGTGATTACCTTTTTCAGGATGGTTCTCAATCCAGAGTAGGGGGAGAGACTGTTGACATGATGGACTATACGTATGTTAGTGAAAGTATGTTGTTAAAAATGAAAAGCCAAGAGCAGGAAGGAGAAGGCAGTCCAAGTAAGTTTGTTTTTGTGTTTTCTTCTTCATTGGTTTGAGTTATTTAGCCTTATTTTAGGTTTGCAGAAACTACTATGGATTATAGAAATGACCTGAGCCATTCTTTGTTGAAGTCATTTGGCCTTATTCCATCAAGATCAAAGAGTTTGTTAGGGTTCGCCTGTTAAGACTGAGATGGCACTTATAAACAAACATGTATTGCAAAATTGAGGTACTAGCTGATAAATATATAACTTACACAGAGTAATAAGAAAGTGTACTGTCTTGGCTTTAAAAAGCCACCAACTTATCAGCAATTTTGTCTAAGGAAAGGCTAGTTTCAAAAGTCTTTGTATTTATATTTGAGTAGGATTAAGGATAACTCCAACTACAGCAAGAAATACTCACATTCATTCAGTGCTAAGGTTTGCATCCATACACAGATCTATAAAAGTGTTTTTCTATACAAGGTAAGCATTTTCCTCATTTAAAAGAGTGAGAACAGGAGGCACCCAAAGATTGGTTCTCTGTGTTATTTTGGTGAACTCTGTAAGAGAGCTGGAAATAGAACTTAGTTCCTGTTCAACTAAAAACGCATGCAGAACATTGGTCTGTTGACCTAAATTGTTGAGACCTGATTTTAGATGACCACTTTGAATTTTTCTTTTATAGAAGAAGAAAGAAAAAAGAATGACACCTTAGCAGAACTATTTGATCGGACATCCCATGAAGAATACGAATCTTGTCTAGTAGATGATAGTTCTTCAGCATGTGATGAAAAAGAAAATCCTCATAAAGAAGAGGAAAACGAGGAAATGTCAGCAGCCAAAGAGAAAAAAAAGAGTAGTGCATTTGTTTTTCTTTAGTTAGTCTCTTGATGATAATTAACCTGGTCAGACTAGAGGAGAACTGTCTTTAATTGAAACAAATAGCCCAACTAAATTATTAATTTACTTATCTGATGTCCATAGGGATTAATTTGTTATTCCAGGATTTTTAAGAAGGTAGCACAAACTATTTGAAAGAGAAGGGGATTGGAGTGGCACTCAGGGAAGGCACAGGATGTAATTTGTGACAAGCCTGCCAAAAAGGTGGCCCTCCATTGTTCTAACTGATTCCATTCTGTGATGCTCATACTGCAAGTGTATAAGGGCTAAAGGCTTTTGACTCTCATGCCTCAAAGCTATTTACATGTCAGGAAGTCTGCCTCCAAGGATCCTAGATGAAAAATGAATAGTTTTATAATATTAACAATGAGAACCCAGAAGTTGTGGTCTAGTTTCCTTTGGCAGGGGTGGTTCAGGTAAATCATTTTAAAATTGTTTTACGCTAAAGTTTTAAAATGGGTATTGCTGTAATTATTGCACTCTGTCTAGCACCATCATTTTATGACCACTTTGTATAGGCATTTCAATTACAGATTTACATCATATTTTTATTCTGAATATATTTACAGAACATGAGGATAAACAAGATAAAACCAAACAGAAGGCTTTTGTGGAGCCATATTTCAAAAGTGATGGAAGGTAATATGGCACTTTCTTTATTAATCTAGGAAGCTTAGGGTTTTTTCCTCCTTTAGAGAGCTTATCTTTTCACAAAAGAAACTAATGAATTATTACATACGAAGAAGTTTGGAAATCTACAACTGGAAAATCTCCAAGAGGTTTCTGGGCATCATTACAAAAAAACAAATGTCAAATAGAAAAACTACAGAATGGTGCAAGAGAGGAATGTGTCATTTTTTTTGTTAGAGAGAAAAAATGTAATTTTTGCTGTTAAAATTTTGCTGTGTGGATGTTTCTGTAACCCATAGTGTTTCATTAACTCTAAGTTGTTCAAGCTATATACTATATGGTCAAAAAACATACTGAATTCTTGAACAAGTGAAGACTTTTTTAAGTATCTTTTTCATTTTTTTTATGTGTTTTAAATTCCTGTGAGCATTAGAGGAGGAACATTCAAAAACTACTATATAGCTAATACTTCCTCCATTGCTTCCTACATTTTTTATCGTGAGTCTATTAGGAGTTTTCATTTTGCAATACTATCAAGTATTGTGGCTTACTTGTCCATGTATTGTATACTCAGTTTTGTTTTCTCTTTGCAGAGGAAAAAAATACTTGACTAACATTGTGTTGTCTAATAAAATAAGCACAAAGGGCCAGATTCTCTTCTGCCAATTAAGCATGTAAGTAGCTAAATGCAATCCTATTCCACCCTGCTCAACTTCCTGAAAAACTATTGACATTCAAGGTGGGTAGAGCATCCTCCTGCTCCCTGCTTTTTGTCACATGGTGCTAGGTTAAGATGCATGTGCATAACAAAATAGATGCATTAATAGTTTTGGGGGGACTTGAACAGGGTGGAATAAGATCTTGCTTAGTGTTGATACACAGAATCTTTTCAGAAACAGCATTCCAAGCATCATTGGTTTTTGTGGTTGGATTCAATACACCTTTTTTCTGTCAACAGTAATTGCAAGAAAACTTGAACCTGTGGCAAAATAAATACGCTATAAATGATTATACTTTTCACAACTTGCATACAATAATTAATTTGTACATATAGGGTAGAATTCTATTTCCCACTGTATGTATAAGTGGCAGCTTTCTAGTTACATAAATGATATTTTCTCTTGCATTGTGGATGCGTATGCATCCTCTGTCAAAATGTACATGCACAGTATGCTGTGCACTGGCTGGTACATACGTATTCTGGATATTGAACCGGCAGCTATGACTTTCTAATCACTAAGCAGAGAGTCAAGCATTACCCAGTTCCCTTACCAGCACTCTGGCCACATAGGCAGATGGCTAGAAAACTGCTATTTAGGTGCACAAAAAGAAACAAAATTCTACCTATAATAAACAAAATAAAAGCTTTAGATCTGAGCTCTATCAGAATTCATTTTGACCTTTACGGAAACGCAAGCTTTCAAAAGGCAATCTTCTAGTTAGCTGGCCCTAGCAGCTATCTAGCCTACATGCAGCATAAAAGTGTTGAGACTTCATCCCCAAAACTCTTACAGTTGACTACCAAAGCATTAAAATGAGTCGTCTTTGTCCATACTGTAGTCAAAAGGGGTGGTTGCAGCTTGTGTATTGGCATACCTATTTTTTAAATTGTGCTTTGGTACTGACAACAGTTTAAATGCAGCAGCAAAGTGTTTGGCGTGGGCAAGCCCCCTGAATGTCCCAAGTGAGTTTTGCTCCTCATGTTGAACCTCACGTTGCCACAGCTGCACTGTTATCAGTACCCCACTTAACTATGGTATGTCTTTATGAACTAGTGTCGTATCTTTGAGTTACAGCATAAACCTGTACTGCCATTAGAATGGTACTATTTAGTTTTATGGAATGAACTAATAGATAGCAATACAAGGGCATAATATTCATGAAGTTTGTTTACTAAGAATAATGAAACCTGTTTGTAGTCTTCAAAATTTTAAATAAGAAAGTTATCAGCAGCTCCTCTTTCATAGAAGGGCATGGATGCATAAAGGACAACTTAATTTTTAAAAAACAGCGAAACCCATTAGATTAAAAATTATTCCATTATATTTGGACATGAAGGATGAAAGGGTTGTTTATTTTTAATAGGAATAGTTATCAGGAAGCTGAGGTTCTTTCAAATAGATATGTTTGTACAGATTTTTGCAGAAATCTTGTTGTTTTATCACCCTCCCCTTCACTGGACTAATTAATTCCATAACTCACCAAGACACAGAGAAACATATTTCTAATCAAGTGATAACCTAAATGCTTTTGCTTTTCAGAAAAAATACTGGGTTAGATTTTCCTCACATTGAGGTTGTTCGGAAGAGAGAAGAGAGAAGAAAATTATTGGGCCACACTTGTAAGGAATGTGAAATAGTAAGTACTCTATAAAGTTTTGGCTGGTGTCTTTTTTTTTTAACTTTCATACGAAAGACCTGATATTCTTTATAAATTAGAAGTCCAATAACCTCAAGATTAATAAATCAAGTAGGCCAAGGTGTCAATTTGTACCAGAGCTGTTGGCCAGTTTAGGGACCCATAATAAAAATTACATACTGTAGAAGTGGACAATAATTGGATAAGATAATTTGGCATTTATCTTTTTATAATTTTTATGTCTCTTCATTTGTTACATTTTATACATTCTACATTTTTATTTAATTTTTTAAAATTCTGCCAAATCTTTTTTGTTATCTTGGAATTTATTTCTCCAGTGTCTGCTGAAAGATAGAATCAAAGGACCGGAAGGGACCTGTAAGATCATCAAGTCTGGTCCCCTGCCATCGGCAGAATGTAATTAGGCTCAAACAAGCTCAACAAGATGCTTGTCCAGCCTCCTCTTGAATATTTCCGAGGATGGCAACTACACCACCTCTGCTGAGCATGCATTCCATATTCTAGATACTCTTATGGAAAAGAAGTTTATCCTTATGTCCAACCTAAATTGTTCCTCAATTAGCTTATGCCTGTTGGTCCTCATTGTCTCAGGGGCACCTTTTTTGAAGAGTTGCTCCCCTAGATCTTGGTGTTCACCCCTGACATACCTGTAGTGGCTATCAAGTCACCTCTCAGTCTTTTACTCAGACTGAACAAACCCAGTTCCCAGAGTCTCTCCTCACAGGACCTATCCTTCAGGCCCCTGATTATATGGGTAGCCCTTCTCTCTACCCTTTCAAGCTTATCCACATCCTTCCTGAAGAGTGGTGCCCAGAACTGGACACAGTACTCCAGCTGTGGTCTCACCAACACTGAATAGAGGGGGAGGAGGACCTCTCTGGATCTATTCACAACACATTGGCATACACACCAGAGTTCTATTTGCCTTGCTGGCAACTTCGTTGCACTGTTGGCTCATATTCATCTTCTGGTCAATTGTCACCCCCAGGTCCCTTTCAAATGCAGTGCCAGCCAGTGGACCACTAGCCATCGTATAATTATGGTGAAGGTTCTTCCTACCCAGATGAAGGACCCTGCACTTTTCCCTATTGAACTTCATCTGATTGTGTTCAGCACATAGGACCAATATGTCAAGGTCTTCCTGGATCCTCACCCAGTCCTCAAATGTGCCTGCATTTCCCCACAACGTGTTGTCATCTGAAAACTTAATCATTACACTTTCCACCCCCTCATCCACGTGATTGATAAAGATGTTAAAGAGCACGGGCCCAAGCTCTGATCCCTGGGAAACACCATTGGAGGTGGCCCTTCAGGATGAGGCCATCCCATCAATTGCAACTCTCTGGGATCAGCCTCTGAGCTAGTTGCCAACCCATCTCACTGTAGACTGGTCCAGGCCAGTACCCCCCCAGCTTAACTGAAAGAAACTCATGGGAAACTGTATCAAAGGGCTTGCTGAAGTCTAGGTAAATGATGTCAACCTCATGTCCCTTTTCCAGCTGGTTAGTTATCTGATCATAAAAGGACATGAGGTTTGTTAGGCATGATCTACCCTCAACAAAGCCATGCTGGTTGCTTCTTAATACCCCAGTTACAACTTGTGGTGGTTGGCCTCTTTTTGACAATTTTTTTCAAAGATTTTTCCCAGGACTGAAGGCAGACTGACAGGTCTGAAGTTTTCAGGGTCGTCCCTCTTCCCTTAAAGATGGGTATCATGTTAGCCCTCTTCCAGTAGTTCAGGACCACTCTCGAGTTCCATGACTTTGACCAGCTTTGCCAGAGGCCCTGCTATAAGCTCAGCCAGTTCTTTCAGGACTCTCGGATGCAAGTCATCTGGCCCAGTAGACTTGAACATGTCCAGATGTTCTAAGATTACCCTCACCTGTTTGGGACTGATTTCATGTGGACTGTTGTCTTTCCCATATTCCATGGGCCTCTGGACAGGTGAACAGCTCCTGTCTGTTTCACAAATGCCAATGTAAAGTAAGTATTTAGGTGTTCTGCCTCTTCATGGGGATCAACTGTGGGCTGCTCCCCTGTACCCAGTTAGGGGTCCCACAGTGGAGTTGGATTTTTTTTTCTTGCTCCCTATGTACCTATAGAAGGACTTTTTGTTTTCCTTTATTTCAGTTGCCAGCTTGATCTCCATGCCTGCCTTCGCTTTCCATGTTGCATACCTGCAGACCTTGGCCATATGATTGTATTCCTCTCTGGATGCTGAACTGTTTCTCCATTGCTTAGATGCTTCTTTTTTCTTTTTCAAAAGTTCCCTAATATTCCTGTTGAGCCAAGCAGGTCTCTTGGCCTCTTTCCCGCTTTTTGACTGTGCGGGGATGGCCTGTTTTTGAGCAGTGAGAATTGCCTCCTTAAGGAAGCACCACTGTTCCTGAACTCCCAAATCATCCAGTCACTAGTCACAGAGGGCCTTTCTAACAAGACTCCTGAGTTTACCAAAGTCTGCCCTTTTGAAGTCTAAGACTTCTTTTCTACTGACTGAATTCCCAGCCTTTTGGTGGATGGTAAACCTAATCAGGTCATGATCACTGTTGCCCAGAGGACCTCCAATCTTCAAGTCACCTACCATGTCTTCCCCTTTGGTCAGCACTATGTCCAGAGTGGCTTTACCCCTAGTCAGTCCTTCCACAGCCTGTGTCAAGAACAGGTTGTCAGTAGCTGCCAGGAAGTTGGTTGACCTGCTAAAGCTAGCTGAATGGTCTTCCCAACAGATGTCAGGGTAGTTGAAGTCACCCATGAAAATCAGGTCTTTAGTACTGGCTGCCTCAGTCAGTTCCTTGGAGAATGCCTG